ACAAGCCGGAAGGCTGCGGGTTCCATTCCCGGTGGGGTCATTGGATTTTTCAATTGACCTAATCCTTCCAGCTACACTATGGTCCTGGAGTCGACTCAGCAATGAGTACCAGGAAATGTTTCTGGTTAAATGGCGGCCGATGCTTAAGCCTGACAACATCACCGCCATCTGTGAGCCGATTGTCTAGAAAATATGGGAGCCTCGACGTCTCACAACCTTATGGGCCTTTACGGCCTGTTACGGGGATAGCTTTAATTTTTTCTTTTACTTTTACTTCACCTTCTTCAAAATTTAACATTGTATTTAACAGAATGCATTGTTTTATTAACTCAAGTTATGGGTAGGTTCTGTAATAGGAATAGGGGAGGTTAGAAACGCATACAAAAGTTTAGTTAAAAACATGAAAGGAAAAGGTGAAATGGTAAACCTATGTATAGATTTACAGATAATGTTCGAAAGAAACTGAATGTTAAGTTAAAAGAGCATAGTTGTTAATGTGCTCAAATATTTACACACCACACCATGAAGACGTGTGGGGGAGTGTTGCATAAATCCACTATTCTTAACCGCGGCGCTAGATGGATGTGAGTGGTCATCTTCTCGCCCCAGGAACTTTACCCTAAATGAAAGAACCCACTGTACCAATTGGGTAGGAGGTTGGATGAGTCTCAGAGCCGCTCTGAACTCAGTGAAGAACAGATAAATTTCTTGCCCTTACCGAGAAATGAACCCCTGCCGTCTACCCCGTAACCCTTCGCTATACCGACTGGACTATCCCTGTTCACAAAGAAGTAGGATATGATGATGTGAATTCTTCACCTGGCTCAGGATAGGGACCAATTTTAGGCTCTTGTGAAGAGGGTAATAAATCATCTCTGTATTACATAAAAGGCGGAAGTTTCTTAGTCAGATAAACATTGTCTTCAGCCGCTGCACTTTATAACATATAAGTAAAAATTAAGATTGATTTTCATCAAGTGCAATAATGTTTTTACTGATAAAAATAGAGCCTGTATATGTTTCGGCCCCAACCGATACTTCAAAGGAAATGCATCACGTGTATCAAATGTATGTGTTTTCTTGTAAGGGTAAACAAACCAGTGTTTAAAATACTGTTTGTAGGAAATAAAATGATTTTTCGATTCGTTAAGGTCTTGCTGTTAGTCCCCGTCATGGTCGTGTTCCTTGACAGTAGATCGTTTGTGCTATATTGGTCCTGTGTGTGTAGGTGGTGGTGTGTGCTTTGTGTTCTGGTGAACAAAGATAACCATCATTGACCGAAATATGTCAAGGCGCTATTTTATTATTAAAGAATATTGTTGCACTTGATGGAATTCAGTCCTAATTTTACTTATATTTTGAACATATATATATTTTAATTTTTGCCGTCAACGAACAATACGATATTATTTATTTGGCCGCGCCATAGCTCAAGCGGTTAGTCGCTGGCTTCCCACCGCGGCGGCCCGGGTTCGGTGACGGGACTGGTCAAGTGGGATTTGTGGTGGACAAAGTGGCACTGGGGCACGTTTTCTCCTAGTACTTTGGTTTCCCCTGCCAATATTCATTCCACCAATTGCTCCACAATCACCCTCACCTATCATCTGGGGCTGGTACAATAGGCCAAAAGTGGCCGCAGTACAAGGGACTTAGTCCTACCCCACTAGCAATAAAAAAATGCTTATTTATTTATTTATTTATTTATACCTATATATAAATCTTTTATTTCTTAATCAGCTGAGCGTCTGTTACTTTACTAAGAGCACTCTATTCCATGGTGTTACAGGAGACTTATAGCATGTAAACATTTTAAAGACAGTAGCTAATATATGTAGGCCTATCCAGTACTTTAACATTAAAGCAAGCTACGGTTTGTTTATAAAGTGTATTTATGGATTTTGTATGATTGTTAAAATAGAAGATTATTCCCTTAACAGCGTTAACTAGTTGTATTTTTAAAATGAGATCCCAGTGTATTTTACCATGCGCAAGAACTGAAATCTTACTGAGTAAAATAATAGATTGCTTGAAGGGAAGAAGAGCTCCACGTGGACTGGAAGCAACATAGACAATGAATGTAATTCCGGGTATCAGATTTCTTGATTAATGAATTTATCCATTTTATGCGTTCTTTGTACGACATGGATAAAATTAACTCAGAATGGGGAGCTCGTCCGCCGGTAAATTTGTTTTGTCTCCGAAAATACGGAATGAAGTTAAATTAAATGTGAGACTGTTATACACTAAAATTTGTTTGAGTGGATTTAATTTTAGTTTTCATCGCTTCACTCTAACTCCCGTTTACAAACTAATTAAGTCGTTTTTTAAAAGCATACCGTAGAGCCACAGGCCGTTGGCACATGTCACAGAACGTACAGTTCACAACATTCAGATTTTTATTTTATTTTATTTTTATAAATAATTGTACATTATATTCAAATACGAAAAACAGAGCTTTAATGTAACGTGTAACAAATATTCAGTAGAAAGTAGATCCCAAATCGCCGATCACGGTGACCGTGCGGTCTAAGGTATGAACTGTCTCCACGCGCTTGAACATTGGGATCGTGGGTTCGAATCCCACTCAAGGCATAGATGTCTGTGTGTGTTTATTCTGTGTTTGTGTTGTCCTTATGTTTAAGTAGCGGCCTTGCGACGGACTGATCTCCCGTCCAAGGAGTTATACAGGCTGTATATAGAGTAGGAAACTGAAAAAGCGGCTAAGAACTACAAAATCTGTAGAGCCATAGATAGATAGACAGACAAATAGATAAGTAGGTAGGTGGGTAGGTAGGTAGATCCCAGAGCTAAGTTAACCTAATTCAGCATATTAATTATATATTACCAAAGAAGTGGATGGATTTTTTCCAAGTAGAATACTGAAGTCGCTAGGTAATTTTCAGTACATCTATCATCTCTTCGAATCTTTACGCTTAACTAATAATTAAATCTGTGTTCGGCCTGATGAACTGAAATTGTGTATCTTACTCCCTAGATGAATATGTACATATTTTATATTGCATGCATATAGCAACAGGACATGTTACTGAACGTCAGGATTTGGAGGGGAAACACTGTCAGAGGTGTGTTCGGAGTTCTTGGATTCCAGGCTTGGCCTGAAGACACTTTACCTTCACTGAGATTTCTCGCGGTTTCAGGCAGTTCCCGGGTTAGTAATTCAGTTAATCTATAAATACTTCCTTCCACATTCTATCCAATTTATTGTTCATTAATTATCCAGTTATCTGATGCTGTAAAATCTGAGGTGGCCTTTCTCCAATGGTGCTCCGCGGAACCGCGCACTTCTGCGAAATGAAAATAAGGGTTCCGCAAGAAAATTCCTTTAAAGCACAAGAATAATAAAGACCGTATATGTGTGGCATATAAAATTTAAGCTTAATTTTTCGCGCAGGAGCAATGCGATATTTGTAAATGTGTGCGATTGAATAACGTCTTGATCTCATATGCATTTGTAATCTTGTTTATTTTCAACCTTATTTATCTATGGTATAATTTTACCTCCAAATTAATTTTATTATAAATTACGTAAAAATACTTCGAGTGAAAAAGGGTTTCGAGGCCGAATAAACTGTGAAGTGTTGATCTAAGGCACTGTAGGGTCGTCAGATGAACAAGAATAAGCACAATGAAGAGCAACAGAAAGTTAAGGAGGTTTTCTCTACGTAAGACAGAGAAAAGTAATGGTAGGATGGAGGGACTTTCATAATGAGGATATTTATTACTTGTATTTTTCAATAAATATTAGTGTAAACGAATCTATGAGCGTGCAATAAGCGCGAAATATGGCACGCATGAGATAAGATACGAAATTCATTTAGAGTACTAGCAGTGAAATGAGATAGACCACTTGAATAGCCTAGACGTAGATGGCATGATAATATTAAAATTTATCTCAATTAAATATGGATCGGAATAGCATAGTCGGTATAGCGATTAGCTACGGACTGGACGATCGAGGGATTGAAGTTCGAGTTCCCGTAGGATCAAAAATTTTCTCTCCTCCACGGCGTCCAGATCATCTCTGGGGCCTAGCCAGCCTCCTATCCAAAGGGTATCGCTGGTAAAGCGGCAGAGGCGTGAAGCTGAAAACTCGCCTCCAACTAATGCCGAGGTCAAGAAAATTTGGATCGATACATCCACTTCCCCATACGCCTTCATAGCGTAATGCTTAATAAGTTAAGTACAGTTACAACTTTACCTTTTACCTTACCTCAGATAGGGTGGAAGAGTGTATAATAGATTAATTTTTTAAGTAGGGACCAGTGGGTGAATGTTTTAAACACGGTAATGAAACTTCAGATTCCATAAAAATTGTGAATTTCTTCACTAGCTGCGAGACTGTTATCTTCTGTAGAAGAGCTCTGCTGCTTGGAGTGAGTAAAGTTGTTAATTACTTAGTTTATAACCTTGAATCCACAGATTAAACCAAGATGACTGTCGTCAATTGACTCTCGTAATAACCATGGGGTCACTTTATATGAATAGCGGAAGAAATGCGTGCATTATCCTCAGACTATTCCACTAATCAGTCCGACATTGCAGTTATGTAAGAAATTGAAGAATTCGATCAATATTGAATCTAGAAGATTTCTGAAACATCTTTTACGAGTCCACCTTTAGATTAGCATTTTCACAGTAAGCGGAAATATGTTCGAATCCCACCAAGACAAACTGGGATATATACTTGCAACAAAGAAAGTGTAGAGCGGGTGTTACCAAGAAACTCCCGTTTCTCCTGCTATTCGTCTACATTTATGAACAATATATTTTACAATAAAGAACCTCATTATTTAAAAAATGAAAAGTGGCAGCAGCCGCAATCATAAAACAATCTACAATATGAGCGAGGAGATGTAATTAATAAACAGTCCCCCAAACCAACCTTCACATTTTCACAGTTTACCATGAAATTTACGTAAAGTTTTTCATACTTTAAAATGCGTTTCTCTCGTTGTAAGTACGTCCATTCTTGGTCTTACCTTATTTTCGGTTTGAATGACGTGTGGCCTGTAGTTGGTTACCCACCGGGAAACGGATATGCATATTCATCACCATCACTTCGTTAGACAATGTGCAACTGTGAGATCACCATGATGCGTACTGGCGCCTTACTCCATTGACAACCAGCTCAACTCCGTAGCGCCGCCCTCCACCATTGTGCGCGCGCGCACTCCGCGACCGGTTACGTCACGTATCTTATTGCAGATTTTTACATGGAGCAGTCCAGGTACTATATTATCCGTTTCACAGCTAATCTCCATCTCGCTTGCTCTCCGTACTGTTCAAATAGCGGCCAGTAGCCGTTATCAAATTTGTTCAGGTATCCACTCTTAGAATTGCGTTTCCTTGATGTGTGTTTATATTTCTGTATTGGCAGTAGTGCAAGCGATTTTGATCACATAAACTTTTGCAAACCTAGCGTTTTGACGCTGTAGATAGTCCGATATGAGGACTGGACGGTTGCGTCCGGGAGATGCTCAGTTCGAACCTCGGCCGCCTATTCAAGCTTTTTCTTGTAGTTTTACTCAGTCCCTTCGGGAAATTGTTGGAATTATTTATTCCTTGAGTATAAGGAAAAAGTACATCTAGCTAAAGGGCAGAGGCTGGAGGAGCAACTAACAGAGAATTTACATATGTGCCGATTAGGAACACGAATGCCAAAGTTTTTAGAACAGAAGGGCAACATTTAGGGCCATCATAAGCTTTCTTTGAAAACGAAATTTCGAAATGGATGTGCCTGGTGCGTAGGGTCGGAAGGTTTAGCCATTGCAATTAATTAATGCAATGTTAATTATAACAACAATCCAGTTCATTATTTCTTCTTCTTCTTCTTCTTCTTCTTCTTCTTCTTTATTGATGCTACAACTCTTTGTGGGTCTGGTGCTCTCCATGGCTGTCTTGGTCCTCAGGAAGTTCTGTAACAGTATGTTTTTCTGGGGTGGGTTCGAGAACCCAACGCTCAACCCCAAAATATGGGGCTACACTTCGTCCGGCCCCTATCCTTTGACCTGTCTGACATGAGTTTCTCTACCAGGAGGTTACGCTCCCGCTAGCTCCGGGTCACTGGGGCGCGCAAACCTCCTCTCCACGATAAGGCGGTAGCCCTCGAGGAGATAATTCCTCTGTACTGAAAACAACAACCAACGACCAATTATTACAGAGTCTGTAAAATGCAATGCAATAAAAATCGTAATAACACCCAAATTAATGTAATTAATTAACATCTTTTGTGTCCAATTGTCAATATTTTGTATCAGGATAGCGTAGTCAGTATACCAACTGGCTACGAGTTGGACGACCGAAAGGTCTGAATTCGAGTCCCTGTAAGGTAAAGAATTGCCTTATCTCCGCGTCGTCCAGACCGGTTCTGTGGTTCACCCGAAATCCTATCCAAAGGATATAGAAGAGCTTTTCACGGGGATAAAACGCCCGGGACGTGAAACTGAAGCACTCACCTGCAACTAGTTTAGAGGTCAAGGAAATGTCGAGCTCTACATCCACTCTCCCATAAGTTTTTCGTGACGTAGTGCTTAATTAGTTAAGCATAGGGACGACTTTTCCTTTGTACCTTTGCAGTGTAGTTCTGTTCCACTGGATTACAGAATTTTTATTTCCTCAGATTTATCACGATCCTGTTGCTTGTGCAGTTACTTACTCACTGTCATTAGGCGAAATATGAGGTTCTCACGACAGTGAGTAGGACTACTGCAGTCTACTGAGTCACGATTTCATGTAGTCTGGCTGATTATTATTAGGTTTATGAGATGTTAAACGTTTAAATTGTTATTGCATACTCATACTTTCAGTCGTAGTATACTAATATATCTGTGTGGGGTTTGAAGTTCTCACAGCAGTGGCTGTGGAGATTTCTATCTTTTGGGATAAAACGCCATGTAGCCTGTCGAAAGTCAACCGACGTTTGGGAGGGAACAGACTCCTCCCCCTTCAGGGTCTAAGAAAAAGCCAAGCAAGAAATCAGTGTTAAAGTAGGTGATAAACACAGCTCTTCTTCGACCCTGAGGATTGAGGCGAAATGTTCCTCTGAAACGTCGATGGACTTTAAACGGACTACATGGCGTTATGAAGTAGATGTGTTCATAATCACCGCTATGATTTAGATGACCCTGGACTTTGACAGATTTCCATCTGTTATAGTTATACTTATTTGTATCTGACGCCGTACTCGAGAACAAAGTTGGCATGCTTTAACTTTCTGCAGAATTTCCGTCAGCCTAAAAGTACTTGTTTGACAACCAGGAACTCAAAGGCTTAAACTTCCGCCTTCGGTGCTGAGCAGCACTTTTGTTTGTCTAACAAGAATCACTGCCACAAATTCCTCAGGAAGTTGAGTGTCTGTGACTTTGTGTACGTATTTCTAAGGGAGATGGATGAACTTTGTAGCGTGAGAATTGTACGTTTATTTATATAGTCCGAGCGTCCTCGAAATTTACACTGCTGAATCCACAGAGCGGTTTACTAATTTCGTAGAAGTGTATTGTGTGAGACTCGTCAAGACACAAGTCTGTTAGATTTAAGGTTCTCACAGCGCCTTCCTGGTTGCTCGCTTCACGTATTATTCGACCTTAAGGATGGGCGGAGCACATAACTTTTAAAGTTTCTGTGCACTTCTGCTAAATTATACGGAGTCATATCCCAGAATATAATACTCTTGAAGACAAAGTTTAGTCAGGGGTGAATTAAAGGCAGACATATTCATCTCGCTCATTCATATAAAAGTAAAACTAAACAAATCTTAACTGAATACAATGAATATCAATTGTTAGGAAAAGTTGTATCCACATATTTTACTTCCTGTAGAATTAAAATAAAAAAAATTGTATAACGCACGCTACGAAGACCAAATTTACCATTTCACGAAAAATGGTAATGCTACGAAGACCAAGTTTACAATTTCACGAAAAATGGTAACACTACGAAGACCAAATTTACAATTTTATGGAAAAAGGTAACGCTACGAAAACCAAATTTATAATTTCACGAAAAATTGTAATGCTGCGAAGACCAAGTTTACAATTTCACGAAAAATGGTAACACTACGAAGACTAAATTTACAATTTTATGAAAAAAAGTAACGCTACGAAAACCAAATTTACAATTTCACGAAAAATGGTAGTGCTACGAAGACCAAGTTTACAATTTCACCAAAAATAGTAACACTACGAAGACTAAATTTACAGTTTTATGAAAAAAGGTAACGCTACGAAAACCAAATTTACAATTTCACGAAAAATGGTAATGCTACGAAGACCAAGTTTACAATTTCACGAAAAATGGTAACACTACGAAGATCAAATTTACAATTTTATGAAAAAAGGTAACACTACGAAGACCAAAATTACATTTTCATCGAAAAAATGTTAAAATATTTGCAGCACATGTCTAATATCCTCTTTAGTCTTCGTGTGTCCTCTTCGATTCTTTATTTTCGAATGCTTTTAGTATTACAGATTGTAGAGCGTCAGATTGTAGGATAAGTGAATGATTAATTGGAAGGGATTTGGAAGGAAACCACCGTGAACTAATAGAATTGTTCTCACAGTATTTGCTTCGACAGACTGAGAAAACCACGTAAAACCTGTCAAGGAAGCCAGTTTCCTTTCCGAGATTCAAAAAGAGGGCGTCCCGAATACAAGATAGATCGTTTCTGTTAGTCTAACCTGCTCAGTCTTATGAGATTTCTAAATGCGGTGATCACATGTGCAGTGTCCTTATTTCTTACAATTTTTTCCCATGTTTAATGTCGGTATCAGTTGAAGCCCGTTCGAAGCCTTCGAAGCCTCGGGAGCTATTTTAAACAAATTGGAATTGTTGTACTTTTGCTGTTACATAAGAATCCCCTCGTTTTGCATTTGTTAGAAGAGAGTATAACACAAATGTATGAGGAAGGATAAAAAGACATAAGAGAAGGAGTTTCAGTAGGAAGAGTGGAAGGAGAAATAAATAATATGGGAAGAAGAAGCGGGAAAAGAATAGGGATGAAATGAATATAAGAAAAGAGAAGTACAAAGAATAGGAGGAGAATGAAGAGAAAGTGAGGAATATGAGAAGAGGAAGAAAACAGAAATTGAGAAGATAGAAGATAGATGGAAGAAGGGGAGAAGGAGACGAGGAAAAGCAAAGAAAGGAAAGGATATAAGGCGAATAAGGATATGGAGAAATAAGATGGAGATTGCGTAGGAAGAAGTGGAGATAAGAAAGAATTGGAGGAGTACAGCAAGAAATGAAAATATGAAAGAGAATAAAAGACAGGTGAGGTCGATGAAAAAGGAAAGATAATAAGGAGGGTAACAAGACGATGGTGAATAGGCGAAGGAATGCTCCTGCCTGGAGACTATTTCTCTGGAAGGATTAAGAAAGATTCTCACATACTCAGACGAAACTACCAGTCATTTTTATGGCACCTTGAAGATGGAGGTAGGCAGTCTCTCCGAAAAATCTGTGACTACCTACCAGGTTATACAGTTGCACAACCCAAAATACCACAATCTGAATCTTTAACTTCGTGGTAACGCCAGATCTCACGGTAATTTGTGTAACAAGTTTCATGTTTCTGTGTCGAGATCCAAGTGAATGCAGGGAAGCAAACCGCCAAAGGTGCACCCTAGAAGGGTACCATGTCTACACATTGCATATTGTCAAGTAAACATGGTATGGCGCGTCCTCAGGTTGCGGTTGGAGGAGACGCCCCCCAGGTATGTAGAGTAGCTGCAAATATATTGTATAAGCAGTCGCGGACAGCCGAGAAGGGGTGATCCTCTAGCTTGGGGGTTGGGCGTTGGACTAACAACTCATCACTGTATAAAATAAGCTTGTTGCCAAAATTTGCAAGAAGCCTTAGAGAGATAGGATGGGATGGTGTGGATTGGAATGATGTGGCTCAGTATATGGACCAGTGTATGGCTCTTGTGAACATGGTAATGAACCTCTGGGTTCCATAAAATGCTGGGAAGTTCCTGAGTAGCTGCAGAATTGGCGGCTTCTCAAGAAGGGCTCAGCTCCATGAGTGAGTTCTCTACTGCAGTGTTTCTCAACCGCTGGGCCGCGGCCCGGTAC